AGGGATTTCTGGGGCGAGATATCCGGGAAACACGTGAAATCGATCGCGAAGGATTCCCCGAATCGAGCCCCGACGTCGTTCCGTTGACGTATGTGGACGGGAATCCGCGTGACAGCGATCGTTAAAGCCTCCTCGTCTTTGGAAAAGGCTGGCGAAGCTTGTCGCGTATGGAATTGTCCGATGCCAGGTGGAGAGAAAGTTATGAAGGGATTTGAAAAAGTGAACTGTGGAATTCTATAAAGAAGATATTGATAATGATAGTAATAATAATAAATATTAATATGCTATAACATTAAATAGATACTAACCTAGTCCTAACCCAAATGACCGACCAGCGCGACCTTTAGTCAGGAAACGAAGATAGTTCGTATAATACGTAAGTATGTACCAAAATTTAAATTCGTATATTTATAATATAGTTATATATTATATATAATATTAAATTTATATGTTTATAATATATTTATATTTATATATAATTTATTCTTTGAAATGTGATTTTTCTCTTTTTTCGAAATTTTCAAAAACCACTATATGAATTGGTAAAATCTAGGGTAGTACAAAAATCATTACTAGATTTCGGATTTCTATGTATTTATAAGGAATTTGAAAGTGCAGAATTCCACAGAATCCACAAGGGCCAAAGATATACGTAAAATGTCGAAAGTGTACTATTTTGCTAAATGTGTTTTTAAAATTTCGAATTTTCATAAGAATTCACAATCTCATCATTAATCTTTGAAATGCAATTTGTTTCTCTTTCTGCTTGTTAGAACTTCTAAAAACAGGCTCCATACTTTGAAGATTCATTATAGAAATTTACACCATTTATCAATGAACTGAAACTATAGATTTTTATTCTGAAAATCGTTACTCAATAATACAGACATAGAGAGTCTACTAACATAATGAAGATTCAACAGAAAATTCTTCTAATTATCTTTTCTATTTTCAATTAACCCTTTATATGTCTTTATATATCTTCGCTAGTCATATAAGACCTCATATTTATGTAAAATAAAACTCTATGATTGTATTAAATTCGTTTAAAGTTTAGCAAAAGTAATTTTCATTTATTATTTATAATCATGCATTACGTTATTAATGTCCATTCCATGAAAATTAATTTCGACTCCATGACACTCGCATATACGATTAATAGAACCTTAAAGGATTAATATCTCTAACCAGTTATTAATTTTCCTAATTGATACGAATTATTTATGTATATGTAATTCCAGTATCGCTTCTATATACTATGCAATTATAATATAGTATAATTGTAACTATGCTAGACAGTGATTTTATGAAACCAAAATTTTATTATGGACCATGTATTAAATGCAGCTGTATAAATATGTATTTATGCAAAGAAATGTGCACAAGGCAATATTTTCTTACAAAATGAATGTATTTATCCACACGCGAACGTATTTTGTACGCAGCTCATAGACTAATGAAAACTAACATTTAAAATAAATTAATTAATTCTAAAAGGAACTGCATTTTTAATTAGTTTTGAAAAGATTAATTTTAAGATAAAAGTGTACCTATTTATTGTACGTACATTTTTAATAAATTAAGGCCCCCAATTAATTTTTGGAAACAAAACCGCAGTCAATTTGCAATATAAAGGTCTACTTGAACTTTTACTTAGGTAATTTGCTTCTTTTGCAAACGAGTGATTCCAAGATTCAATAAAATACTCTGATATTTTGAACAAACATAATATATCATTTCATCAAATGGCAAGGTTTCTCGTTACATTCGTCATAAAGAAATGGCGAGGTTTTGTGTTACGACGAGTATACTCGTCATGGAGAAATTACAAGATTTCGTGTTACGATGAGTATAATCGTCATTAAGAAATGGTGAGGTTTTGTGTTATGACGAGTGTATTCGTCATAGAGAAATAGCAAGGTTTCCTGTTAAGACGAGTATACTCGTTATGGAAAAATGCCGAGATTTTGTGTTATGACGAGTGTACTCGTCGCAGAGAAATAACAAGCTTTCGTGTTACGTCGAGTATAACTATTTAATTCTTTTTAACTTTTTAATTCACCGTGAAACGACGAGGTTTCGTCAAAAGAAGAAAAGTGATCCACTGGAGCCCCTAAGGGTTTGCAATCGCCTATTGCCCACGTTGAGGACCACTGATCTAGAAGAATTCAGAAGATCCACAGGTTGGCTACCCTTGCTGCAGGATGAAAATCTCCGAACCAGATTGTTCAGCGTTCCGGTAGCGAAGCAGGATATCGACAGACGTGTATCCCGGTCGCCGCAGATGAGATTCATTTGCTCCGCGATATCTCGCGCGACGGCCTTTGATTTACGAGTAAACGCCTCATGCCGGCCGGCAGATAAGCTTCAACCCTTTAGGGACGACGTCTGTACGCAGCACTGATTCTGATGCCGTTTACAACACTCGATGGTTTTCTTTTATAGCTGAACTTCGTTTGTACGAACTCATTGGAGGACAAACTGTTTACACGGCTGCAGTTGGTGGATGAGTTGATATTCAGTGAAATAGGGGGGAGAAGTGTCTTCCCAGTGTATAGTTTTATTGTTTTGATTGGTTATTTGTGACCGTATCAAAGAATAATTTTGTGATCGAAATTAGGAAATAAAATTCATAGAAAATTGGGCGAGAAGAAATGAACACTGCTCGATCAGCAGAATTCCTAACCCAAGCCATTAAGTGATCTAGCAATACCTTTAACGGTAGAACTACCAGACACGACAAAATAACTCGTTCCTGACTTCTTCTTTTTCAAATATTGGAATGATAACAAATTATTCTCGGAAAATTTGTTGAAGAAATTGTTTTCATCGTACACAGAATTATAGTTAAGTCGAACATTCAGTAGATTCACTTTTAGAGTTTCTATGAAAAAATGAGAAAAATGCGATTCGATTGGTCGGTAGTTTTAGTGTTAATCCTCCCATCCCTAAGCAATGAACGTTCTGAAAGTGACACTGGTCGATGAGATTGTACATAAGATGCCACTGTGTTTATTTGTAAACTAAGTAGAATTTTTGCAGTATTTCTATTGGCATTACTGTCTTTTTGCTGTTATAGTAGTTGCCAAGATTGACAACGATCTTATTTATGAATAGCAAATTAGTGAGAGAAAATTACAGGAATTACGAAATGAAACCAACAGAGAATTAGCTCGGAGAAAATGAAAACTGATCGATCGGCCGAGTTCCTTATCCTAGCCATCAAGTGGATAGGAGAGATACATAAGGAGATGTTATCTCCTTGCAGTACGTAATTGAAGGGTTGCTGCGAGAACGAGGCTGCCCCACTTTCAGGTTATTTTAGTAAATCAACAAGAATCAATTAAACTAACTGACTAATACTTGTGTTAACAACGCAGTTGATAGACAAGTGTAACCTTGTCCTTTAATTTTCTTTAAGCTCGACCAGCTAATTTTATTATCAGTACTACCATTGAAAGAGCAAATTTAAATAATTGTGTAAATCGAATTAAAAATATTAATTAAATAGTCAACTTAAAAGAATTAGTTAAACATTTTTAATATTAAACTGTCAGTTTAAAATTATATAAAACATGGACTGCGAAGAAATGTTTCATTTATTACGAGCACACATTAACTTCGAAGGTGAAACATTGGAAATAACGAAATCATATTCCGTTTCAACCCATGTTTAATAAGAGAAACTAAATTTTGTTTAATTAATCTGGAAATCTGCACCACGAACCTTGTTATTATAGGGTAAGGAGTTCTTTGCATAGATATAGGTACAATTGTTTGTTGCCTGTGACAGAGTATAAGAGAGGATAAAGGTAAATATCTCGAAATAGGATTTCAAATTTTTTGCAAAATGTTGCAACAATAAATATTATTTACACAGAAGATGAATAAAATGAATTATACACAATTCTTTGAAATGTAAAAATTATGTTCTAGTAATAGATAATAATTTATGTTACTAAACTAGAGAGATACATAAAAAAAAGGAGTTTCAAAATTTCTGGTGTTAATTAAAATAAAGAAAACAGCAATAAAGGTGGTATTAAGCGAAACTTAGAAATGTTCTTGTGTAATTGTAACGAAAAATAAAACAGGAAAAATTAATTTCAACAGAAGGAAAAATAAACTCGAAAGTGCAATGTTACGTCAATGCAACGTTAGAGTGTAATAACTTCTATTTCAAAAATGATATTTTATAATACTTATGTATAATATAAAAGTAAGTTTAATACTTACGCTTCATTCATCAGGTTTCATTGAAAAATTTAAAACAAAGATACACTTTTGTTTATCAATATTAGAAGAAATTACCACTTTCAGAGTGGTATTCTCAAATCTCAGGTTTCCCAATCATTTTTCAATTCGTACTATAATTTTCCGTGGCTTGAGATCTAATAAAATCGATTCCGCAATTAACGCGTCAACTATTGCTTTTCTTTTATTTCCCAGAGTCAATGATTTTTTTGGTGTTCATTATTATTCACGTAATCAAACAGATAAGAACACTTCGCAACGATAAAAGGAAACATCCCGAAACATTCTTTTATTTTATTTCTTTCCTTTTGTTATAGTACAAACTAAAATAAATTGGATTATTTTTTATTTGATAATAAATAAACAAAAGTATCCCGATATTAACAATAACAAATAAAAAAGAATGTTTAAATCTTTCTTTTCGAAACAAGAAGCAAAAAGGGAGCAATATAATTTATAATAAAACAAATATACATTGAACGCTCAATTCAATCGATCCCACCCTGTAATTAACAACTTTCGTAAACTCCTTACCCGCATCAGAGAATCACCGTTAATAAATTTATCATTACTAGTATTACCATTATTCTTCATTATTAATATCATTAATACTATTGTCATAATTATAGTTATTATATATCAGTAATATAGTAATATATTATTACCATCACTTACCTGAAACGAAAGGCACCGGTGGAAAACAATGAATGAATTCGTCCTCGAAGAAACACGTGTTTATGCGTGAATTAATCATTTAATTTATTTTAAGTTAAAACCACTTTTTTTGTTTTTTTACAACGATATCTTACAATGCCGCTCTTTTTACATATCCGAAAGAAAATGAAAACGCACGCGCGCGCGCGCGCGTCTCCGTGCCGCCGACCGCCAGAGCGATCCGCCATGTTGGCGCGCTCCGTCGCTTCGCGCGAACGCACCGGCGCGCTACTCCTTAATAATACTATTACGAGAAAACAACCTGTCCCCATCCCGTTCCCCGCTCCCTTTCTCGAGTCTCTTCCTCCCAGAAAATCGCTGTCGACAATTCCTAACTCGATCGTCGATTTTTCGTCCTTTAAATCGCTTCCACAAGACCATACACGTATGACACGCACCGAATGCACATGTAAAGTTGCGCAAAATGTAATCTGATTGCATATTAATCTTTAAATGCTGCAGTTGGAAAATTGTAAATTAATGTTGAAGTATAAACAAGAGGATGAACTATTCAGAATTTTAACGATCGAATATTATAGTGCAGTTGAAAGCTACCTGGTGTTTCGAAGTATTTATGATTAATAGTCTTGATTTTGCGAAAAGAAAGTGAATGAGTTTTACCTGTGCTTTTAACGATGACTGTAACGCATGTAACATGCAGGAAGTTGAACTTTCATTTTCATTTCATAAAAATTCTGGTAGTAAACGTGTTAACGCTAAAAGTACCGAACGGATTAAAGTGATTCATTCCTGACTTCCTCTTTTGTAATTATTGAAAGGACGCAGGAAGTTTTTCTTAGAAATTACTCAATACATTAATTTCATAATAAGTAAACTGAAATATAAATCTATCAAAATCTGAGTGAATGTAATTTTGTAATTTCTATAAAAGAAGAGGAAAAGTCTCTTTAATAGCTGGTAGTTACAGTATTAAAATTATCGATTGGGACTCACCGTAAGCAGCTTGGTTGTAGATCAGTGATTGAAATCACGAAAAGCAATTTCTCAACGTGTCAGTAATATGTAATCGTATTGTTATCAACTTCGTGATATCTTACGGACTGAATAAAATTGTATTATCCAAATTTATCAAAACAACGAATAACCGATAGAAAAATCGAAATAGACACATTTCATTCTCAATTCACAATACTAATGCATTTCCAACCGCACAATGGTCTTAGAAATATACCAATCATCTCATATTAAAACATAAAATACAGCAGATGTTCAAAACAATAAACAATGATTTCACAACAATGGTCCTTTATTTCCCACAACTTGCCTACAGAGAAAACAAGAGAAAAACATAAAAGAAAGTAAAAAGGTCCAAAGACAAATCGTCGTCAATGTAAACAGGAAGCTCAAGACCAACAGGTCATTGATTCCCAACGCGTCAATATCGCATACGTGTATCATCGTGCAGAATCAGCCTCCATCATGATCCATCTTAAACGAAAGATTCGTGTTAGATGCAAAAGTTATCTCCCTACCGAAGATCGACGAACGAATCCAGAAACATTAAAAAATCGTCGGTGTACTTAGGGGATATCTTGATGTCTAGCGGAATGGGCCAGGGGCAATCTCTAGTTTCCATAATTTTGATCAATTACTTACAACCGTATTGCCAAACATTAAATCAGTGCTCGAAAATATGAAAAAACTAGAGAATACAACCACCAGAAAGTTGTATAAGAAACATTGAAAACTGATCGATTAGCCGAATTCCTCAGCCTAGTCATCAAGTGATCCCCTACAAGCACCCCGATGTGTCTCCATTATCGGTTCCAAAGCCTCCGTTACCGAACATAATCTAGACGCAACGGTCCAACTAAAAATCACCAGCGATTTTCCCCGCGGTTCCAAGATGGCCGCCGCCGAAGAGAGAAACGGTCGGCCGGCGGGCGATCGTCGCGCGTGCGCGCGCGTCCCCCGACTCCAGTGGTCGGGGCCTGCCGGTGCCGCGGTTTTAATTAATTAATTAGAACGATTAATGAATGGAAATCGGCCGACGACGGCCGATCGGCGACGACGATAATAGATGCGTGTAATAAGAATAATAACGATAATCGTCATTTACGGCTATTAACCTTTTTCGCTCGCGATAAATCGTTTTAATTACCATCGCTCGACTATCTAGATGCAAATCTTACGATGCGCAATTAACCGGTAATTTATGCACAATCACTTTTTTCCACTCCCTCCCGCTCTTTGACGCTTCGCCAGAGCCGCTTTCCCGTTCGCGGTGCTTCGTTCTGTATAATATTTATATATTCATATATTCCGTTCCTTACCTATCTATATACCTATCTATATATATATGATGTACGCGTGTGTGTGTATATATATATATATAGACTCATTTATTTATATATTTATATTTATATTCATATTTATAATCCATATTTATAATCCATATGTATATATATATATATTTTTTTTTATTTTTATATATATATATATATACTATCGGTACAGTATAACGGTACACAATCTCGAAGATACAAAATTTACAACGCGTCCGTTTCCGGTTCTTCGCGCGGCTCGAGCTTCTCGTTCCCATTTCGAAGAAATCGGAAGCTCGCTCTGAAGATCCGTCACCCATACTCACACACACACACACGCACACAGACACACACGCTTGACCTATACACTCACCGCGGGGAATTCCTCGCGTAAATAAAAAGACTCTGAAAGATTGCACGATGGTCTCCCTCCGCCGCGGCGCGCGGGCTTCATACCCGGGACGCGCGCGTTTCTATTTTACACCGTCGTTGCTCCTCCGCGCTGATTTTTTTCCAGTTTTCTCCGTCAATTTTCTGTTCGCTCGTTACACTTGCGCGCCGGGACCCACGTATACGCACGCTTGTTGTTCTCCGTCTGTTAACCCTTCGCGGACGAACGTCGGCGTTCCGGCGAAATGGAACTTCCGTATTCGGAATGATAAGTTCATTTCTCGAACAGCAAGAGATCGGTACGTAGTTGCCTTTTTCAATGTCACTTAAGCATCCGATATATATATAATCTGGCTTCATCCGCCGAAGGTTTCGCGTACTTTAACGAATCTTCGTCTGGAAAGGGTTAAACGGGACGCGCAGATGTCTGAATCCACCTCAGCATGTGATTCGGTACGCCGTCTGCTTCTACAGAGCGAACCGTTTGCACTCGAAAGGTTTTCGGTCGAAATACTCGACGTTTTCTAACGAGACGATGCCTTTTTATAAATTGACCTAACGACAACTCACAAATAAATTAAGGAATATAAATATTTGATATCGATACTTCACGCAGTGGCGCATTATACGAAGACTCTAGGTTCTGCCTAGATTATGTTACAATTTATCAATCAACTTTATAATTTTATCATATAAAATCAATGGGTGACTGAGACTCACCTCTCGAGCGCAAAGGGTTACATGCCTCCACTGTTTCCAGCTTGTTGGTTCCGTGAACTGTTTTATATTCGTTATTCCTAAGATTCTGAACATTTGCCCGGCGCCAAAAGTGACGTATCGTGCAACCCACCTCGGCGCGCAAGTGCCAACACTAGGTTCACGGGCATTTGTTGTACAGTTTGCTCTATTGTTCCTAGGGGAGTTCGTTCATTTCGATTTTGTGGGTCGGGTTCCGGCAATAGATGATTGCGACGCGTATCCGTGTAACCGCGCCGATCGAAATCGTCGTGGGCATTTACAAAACGATACTTATCAAATTCGGTGTGCGTGAAATTGACGGGTCCCGTAAACCTAGTGTTCGGACGACGCGTCCCGACGAAGAGGAGAGAAAACGGCCGCGTTTCCTCCCGATCGAGCGCACACCGGTACTACACGGGGCTGGCTCCTTCTCCGTTCTCGTTTTACGTATGTACAGCGCGTGGTTCTGGATATATGTATATGTATATATGTATACCGATATAAGACTCGAGATACGCGGGTTAGCTGACTTCGTTTGTACTTGGGGCCGGGGCTCGATGGCCCTTTGGATCGAAAACTTTACATATTTACAGGGGCGACGCGGGAACACAAGCTGCGTATAGAGAAACGAGCGGGGATACGATTCCACGGTCTCGGAAACGTTCCTCTATCGCCGACTCTCTTTCCCTCGCGCTTATCTTGCTGAAAGAGAAAAAGAGGGGGAGAGAGATAGATTTAGTAGAGAGAGAGAGAGAGTTTGTGTGAAAAAGAGAGAGAGAGAGAGACAGAGAGGGAGAAAAAGAGAGAGAGAGAGAAAGACAGAGAGAGAGAAAGAGAGAGAGTGAGAGAGGGAGGGAGAGAAAGCACGACACGATTACGTTCGAACGAGAGTGGTGGGCTGCGTCCCGAGCCGGAGATCGCTCGCGATTCATGTGTACTCTGATCGCCAACCGGTCTGAAATCAAACAAAAGAATGCTCGTCGTGGTGTGATTTGTTTGGGGCAACTGGGTTGTCGAATGAAACTGTTCATTTTACTGGAGCCTTGTTCGTTCGAGATTTTTCACGTTATTGCAAACGTGGACGTTGTACTGTGATACGTTCAACTGTGAATTGGTCAGTGGACTGTTCGTATAAGCTAAGGAATTTTTATGCGGAAATAGAAATTGAGATTTTTGTTGGGTAAATGACGTTTGGTTTGTTATGCTACTGATAATGAGATAAGCCATTTTAAAAATATTATTGTATTTTACTTAGCCCTCTATGGTCCAAAGGGTTTGTGGATTTTCACTTTTCAACTTGTATTCTTTGATTCAACTGTGGTTTATTCTGGCACTTTTCGTAATTTGAGGATATTTGAGAAATAATAAAGTTGTACTTATATTATATATGATATGATTCTGGTAAACATTGATAAACTATTTCACTATTAGAGTAAATTGATAACTAATAGATTGTTCATTCTCGCGTAAACATGGACTATTTGTATTGTTAAGCATTAGAGATTTGATTTACATTATAGAAAACATAATTCGTTTCAACGAAACGTCAAAGAATTCAAAACAAAACAATAGCTCGGAATGTGTAAATTTTCGAATGCAATTGTATGACCATTACTATAAACAGTTTCTTTTCTGTTTTATGATAGCATAGTTCTAATGGTTATTTTCCACTCGATTGGATTAAAATAGAATAATATTAAATAGAAAATCTAGAAATATTTTTCTTTAATTTAGCATGGTTTGAAGCATTAAAAGTAGCATAATTATATAAAAGGGAAAACGAATCTATCTGCTCTTCACAATATTTTTAGGAAATCTATATGTAGCAACTTGAACTTTTACGAATTATTATAAATATTTTTGTTTAACTTGAATTTTTGTCTGCTCTCTAACAGTCTCCGTGGGACGCGAAAGATAATAGCCATAAAATACAGTTATTTTAAGACCAATTGAAAATGTTAACAGTTTCATCCGCATACCGGCGATTTTTCATGAAAATCATTCGTTGGGTCCACCCTGAATTATAACTTGTTAAATACTTGAACTATAAAACACACTGACAAGATTCGAATACTAAGTTTTGTAACACCCCGTATATCTTCTTAAATAGCTCAAAAATATCCGTCATACAAGGTGTTTCCACAAAATTAGGATAAGTTAAGATAAACGAAACTTTTTAATCCAGGAATAATTATCCTTTATTATATGTAGACAATGGTTTAATATTTAAAAATAATAATAAATATTTTACTTTTTAAAATAAATGACATATAAAAGAATCACATTATTTATGATATGATCCAATTTGATCCAGTGTGAGCATCAATTCGAAGAAATGATTGGAAAAAATAAAAATCGATCATTTTGACTCATTTAATAATTCAGGAACTAAAACGTAATTATTTAAAGTTCCTCACAATTATTATCGTTATTTTCGTGCACCATGGACCCAATGTTAAGGTGCAGATACAGTATCAAGAAACTTGCGACATTTCCTCCTGTCAGGGATTTGTACAAGTGTTTGTACTTTCACACTAATTTATTTCATTATTATTGCATCTGAATTGAACTCATGTTTTCGAACTTCAAATCCGTATCAGGAAAAAGTGTCGCAAATTATTAGGTGTCCCATGAGTTCAGCATAACAAATGCTTCGTAAAGGTTACTCTGTGAAACCTCGAGTAAAATGACACAAGGTGATAGATCAAAGTATGTTCTACATAATTGAATAATCCGGTACAGAATGTAAAACAGTAAACATCCATTATGCATGAATAAAAAGAAAGAAACTTTTGGGACAACCTAATATCAGGTCGACTAGAAGGTCTTGTCGTTTTACTTTCCAATATGACATTTATATTGCAACGTCTAAATAAATATGAGAAGTAAACTTAAAGACAACAGAAAGTTTCCAAATGAATTACGTAAAGCGTAGACCAGTAAAGTTCAATTCAATGAAATGAAATTTGTCTTTAACCCATTTGCATCGTACGATACAACGAAAAACATTCTATTTCGAAATTTCTTTTCCTTTATTATATTGTAACGATTAAGAAGTTGATGTAATTAATTGTATAGATCAGAATATAATACTATAGCAATATAGTAAATAAGACTAACAATAATAATATAACGATAATAATAATAATAATAATAATCGTGATGGAATAATAAAAATATAAATAATATAATAATAATAATGTTGAAATAATGAAAATAAAAACAATATAATAATAATAATGAAATAATACAGATATAAATAATAATAAAATAATAATGAAATAATACAAATAAAAATAATAATGTAATAATAATAATAACAATATAGTAATAATATAATGATACGGCAATACCGATTAACTATTCCGAAAACACAATCCACTTCACTCCGACAACAAACATATACGCTAACGATGGAAATGGGTTAAATTACAATGAGAAATACGAGACTTTCCAGCCAAACCTAATACTCGCCGAAGCATCTGCCCGTTTAGATCGATAGATCCCGCGTTAGACGGTAAAAATCGTCGAATCGACGAGGCACGAGTGAACACTCACCATCGCGTTCGTGGTCGCGGCCAGCTGGAGACCCTGAAGACTCGTCATGTGATGGGAATGGGAATGCGAGTGCGAGTGCGGGTGGATGGGGGGCGGCGCCGGTGGCGCAAATCCTTGATGAAGACCTCCGGCCACGCCGACGCCCGTGTGATACATGTAATGCTGCATCGCCGGATGCATCGTGTGATGATGCTGCGACGTGCCTGCAAGCAAAAACGCGGCGGACCCCGTTTATTAGCGTTTCGTCGACCGGCAACCGATACTGTTACAGTAATACCCCGATTAGCCCTTTCGCTGCCGGGGAACGATATATCGCTCGTACATGCGCTCGCAAGAGGCGCCGAGAGCGATGCGTCGGTTCCTGGTTTTCTAACTGCCGTAACCCTTTGTGACGTATAACTATGTGTTTCAACATGTTTCACACTACATTTATGGACATTTATTGTTTATTAAAAATCAATATGAGTCGGACTGGCTCGTTTCGAGTATCTAGTGTTATCTTAAATTTCTGAATGCTATAATCCTTTGTGACACGTAAGTAGTTATCTATTTGAAAATTTTTGATATTAGATTTATAGATATTTATTGTACAGTTTAGTCTATTGTTTTTTGACAGATTGATGTTCGTTTATCTGGTTCCGTGAATCTAGTGTTAATTTGACTTTTTAAATGCTATAATTCTTTGTGACACGTGAGTAGTTATCTATTTGAAAATTTTTGACATTAGATTTATGGATATTTATTATACTGTTCTTAGAAAGATGTTTATTTTGTTATCAAACTTTACAATGTTTATTTTGCAAGTATTTAAGTTATGACAATGCTTTGCGGAAAATTTTAAAATAAACTTGCGTATTTCTACAGATATAAGAGTAAGGGATCCATCAAATCTTGAGAAATATACTGTTGTAATTTTTATAGAAACTTAGATATAAATCACTCAAATTGCTTGGTAGTTTTTGTTTTAATAAAATTCAATGTCACGATGTACGATATCTCCATAAAGTAATTAAAAGAAGTTTAACTGTAAAATGTTATCGCAATAATGTTTTCTTTCAAAGTAAAATAAGTCCATTTGTAGCTAAAAAAATCGTTTATTTTCTTTAACAATTTTATTAAGTATTATGTATAATAAAATTCAACAAGTTCATGGCTTTATAAACATTGTGCCAATATTGTTCAATTGATTCAATCGCAAAACCTTAAATACCTTAACACTAAAACTACTGGACGAGTCAAATGCTTATTTTGCAAGTATTTAAATTATTAAGGCATTTTGCGAGAGATTTTCGATTAAATTCGTGTATTTGCACAGCTACAAGACCAGAACACCCTTCGAATCTCTAGAAACGTATTATTCTAACATAAAAAATCGGAAATAAACCTCTCAAATTGCTCGGTAGTGTTAGCGTTAATGTACGATAAAATGGACTCACACTACTGTAATACTAGAACTACTTATTAAACTTAGCTATATTTAATTTGTTACAAAAATTAGAAAAACAGATTTCTTAAGATTTGAAGAGCTTCTTATTGCGGCACTTGCACAAATAGGGGAATTTACTTCGAAACGTCTCACGAATGCTTCCTTGTCATTTTAATAATGGTGAAATAAGACGCTTGAAATTGGTCATTTTAACCCGTCTGGTAGTTCTAGTGTTAAAAAAAGACTGCTCGTATATTGACAGAAGGAAAACTTACTCATCGGCGAGCCGAAGCTCGAGTGGAACGGCTTGTTGTCGAGATCCAGATGACCGCTGGCCTTGATCATATCGCCCATCACGCCGCCGAGGCCCAGGCAGCCGCCGGCCTTCTTCTTCTTGCTCTTCGACGAGAGCTTCCTGTTCCTCGTCTGAATGCCCTCCTTCTTCATCGTCAGCGGCCGGTTCACCTGCAAAAGTCGTAGCCAACAATTCGTTGAGTCGAACGGGTAAATCTAGGGCCGCGCGGGCCGCGACGCGACGCGATTGTGATTCGTTCGACCCTTTGCCCTCGGGAGTCTTTTAACGCGTTGAACGCCGCACGATTTCACAGAGGGAAATCCACAGAATGGAAAAAATATAATATTAAATCATTCGATCGTATTGCATTATTACTATTCCACGTTCATCTAGCTGAATATCGCCACAATTAGCTAGCATTATTTATAATATAGAAATGTTTTCATATAGTCGTCATTTCATTGAGTAAACCACAGTAATACGGTGACCCACATGTCATTCAACGTGTTAACTGAATATATTCATCGTTTTCTGATGAAATACCGGCGAAATGTCTATTTCGGTCCTCCATAACTGTTTCGAGAACCGGAACCAATATATAACGCTCTCAAACAGTTATTTTCCTTGAAATGTTCAGAATGTTTCTATTATTTCGTCCAACCCCTGACAATCCATTACGGGAGTCTCACTTATCTGAATCAGTACATGCTTAAAGTCTAACGTGAATACCTCACTGAACTTCTATTATCCGAACTACTGTCGAGCGTACTCTCGGTTATACGAAGGTGTGCGTATTCTATCCATGTCTCGGGATGTTTGATTATTACGAGTTATCCGGTACCTGCACATCCTTAATTAGCGGACAAGATATAAGAGGTAAGGATAAGGTACGTTGTAGAGACATGGCCCATTTTCATTGAAAGGACTATTGCATCATAACTATCAGTAATGCCTAACAAAAGAAAATCTATTTATGAAAGTAAATTACATATACGAAGAATAGTTAATAGGCATCTATGCAAGTTTCAGTGTACTGTTAAGCCTTTAAGTACGTCATATTGGCGACGTTAAAGTTTCACATCAGGAATACAAAATTGCGGAACAATTTCATTATTCAAATAACCAAAGCTCAGTAAGTGGTTTCCCTTTCTTCTAGCGTTTCAGAATTCCGTGTACTATTCAGCTGCTGTTGCTAAAGGCTTTCGATACTTTGGAAAGTCTCCGACCGCAGAGTTCAAAACAGTTGAAAGCATGAATACTTGACAATCCAAATGAGTTCGACCCATATTCCCCGGAATTACTGCAATTAGTAAACTTCTGCCATCCGAATACGTCAGCTGCCCACAGACATGTCCACAGGCGTGTCCACATCGGCAAGGTTCTACCATAATTAAACCAGCAATCCAGCAATAACATCAACTGTCCTACAGCTACTGACGAAAATATCCTCAGTGGAAGACTCCCTTTGCCCCGTGATAGTTTAGCTTCTAACACTGACTCCGAACATAAGAGCTGCACAGTAGCTACCTCTGCTAAAGGCTTTCGACACTTCCGCAAAATGCCCGCCCACAAAGCGTTCAAAACAATTGAAAACACCGATATTTGACGATTCAAATAAGTCCGACTCGTATCATCCGGAATGACTGCAGTTAGTAAACCTCTACTATCCAAACTCGTCGGTTATCCGAACAGATATGCCCCCAGACGTGTTCGGATCAACAAGGTTCCAGTGTAATTGAATGGGCAACCCAGTAGCCGCTCCGCGGGTTCACCCTGTCCCGCGACCCGCGATTCCGAAAAGTGTCGTTGACCGGTGGTCGTCTGGGACGTTGGCTCGCCGCGGCGCGGCGGGGCCGGGGACGAGGGAGGATGATGATGATGCCTCCCCGGCGCGGCACCTCGAGTGCACGCTGCGCCGCGCTGCGCCGCGCGATTCGCCCGCAATACCAGGAACCTTTTCCTTAAGTTGGCAGTTGCGTCACGTCGCGGCAACTACAAAGCGCGCGCCTCCCCCCCGCCCGCCGCCGGCCGTTGTTTCCCTTCCTCTGCGCTGCCTCCGGTGCAGCATACCGCCCGCCGCCTTGCATACCTAGTTATTTCGTACTTGAGCGAGTAGCGCGACCACCGCCCGCGATTCTTCTCTTCTTCGCTCGGTTTGCCTCTTTTTCGTCTCGAACCCGGCCGAGGGAAGGATTAACGGGCGAGTTTTGGCGGGCAGCGAATTGATGGCGCGACATTCGAATGTGACGCGAGGTTCATTGTTGGGTCGTTCAATGGGTTTTTGATGGTTGCGAGTGGTACGTATGAGTTTCAACGGTTCAGATTGGAGAATTAGCTTTTTGGGAATGGGAAATATGCAGAGTGTACGAGTTGGAAGGGTTTAAATTATGAAAATGAAGTTTGTGGGAAGTAAAAAACTTGTACGGTGTATGAGTTCGAAGGCTTTGAAGGTTGAGAATTAGTTATTTATGAATGAGAAACTTGGGTGTATGTGTTGGAAGGCTTTGAATTTTAGGAATGAATTTTTGGGAATGAGAAGTATGTAGAGTGTACGAGTTAGAAGGGTTAAGAGTGTAAAAATGAATTTTGTGGGAAATAAAGGACTTGTAGAATGTCCAAGTTTGAATGCTTTAAATTTTGAGATTGAATTTTTTGAGAAATAAGAATTGTCAAGGTGTCCGAGTTTGAATGCTTCAAATTATAAAAACGGAGTTACTAAGAAATAAAAATCATCGACACTCATCAACACTCATTTCTCAGAACTTTCGTCGAAAGAGTAGTTCGTATCCACCGTAACCGCAACTTAAACCTTGTAACCGTATATTTTCCTAATGAAATTAGGGATGAATTAATAAAAACCCAAAATAACGCTAACTCTTTGAACAATTAATTATTCTCTTTTTCAAATAAACATGTAATTCGTCTTCATTTGGTTTTATTTTTTTATTGTAACACATATTCAGCGCACTTGCCGTGCGTTTGGTTAGTTAAAATTTTGACTTTTCGGTTTCCGTTTCGCCGGGAAAATTGCTTTGATTGAATGAGTAATTTGATTAAAGATCAGCCTTCGTTTGTCTCGCAAGCGGAAGCAAGAAGGTATGAACGTCATATGAACGTATAAATCGTTCAACGAGACGATTCAACGAATGTGAATAAGCATTCGTGTTGAACACGTGATAAAGGCAAGAAGCTCCAACTACTGGCTGGCAAACGATCTCAAATTACTGTTGAATTCGTGGGCGGATTTGAATAGGTATTTAAATAACAGTAGATTTAAAAGATACTCCTACGACGATTTGTACTTTCCAATACAAGTATCAATATTTCTATTATTCCGCCATTTATTTCAATATTTCGTCAATGACAAAACGCGTTGTCTACAAAGACGACTAAATTTTCAATATTTCTATCATACACATTTCAATATTTGGCGAAGACATATGCTCCCAATTTACTCTCATGCTGCTGAATAAACTTGTAACAAATAAGACACACGTCAAAGATATCCAGAACATTTAAATCAAACTCAATTCTATTTATTATTTCAATTTCTAAAGAAACTCTGCATTCGTTTTTAAACAAGAAACTACTTGATCTCTGTCAAGTTATTGATAGTAAAATTGGTTAGTAAAATTATAGTAACTTGATGCTAAAATCTTACGCCAAGGATGTAACACTAGAAGAACCAACCTCGCTTACATAAGCCCAATCGTCTAATCGGCCAATTATAGGGTAGCGTGAGGTAAAAACTTCCATTCCAAAGAAAAATAACAAACCTGGAAATTCAGAGAATTATGAAGCATCGTGTGTAAGTAGAGTAAGTCAAGCCTAACATTGCATTTTCTTGATAAATTTCCCTTTGAAGGGTGAAACCGCTCCTCGATGAAAATACAAACTTTCCTTCCTGCGGATTATCTTCAGAAAACTAAGAGATAGCGAAAAAAAGTTGGAACAAAAAATACATCGTTCATTCACGTATATAGAACTGCAAAATAAGATTCTCCAAAATACTCAATCTTTCTAAAATTCTGAAAACAACATAACTTTTCGAAAAATTGTATTTTATAATTTCATAGACGTCAAAGAACAATGTATTTTCTTTAAACGTTTTCCCTCTATCTCTTACCGTCCTCAAGATAATCCACGACAAAGGAAACCTTGCATTTGTTTGGGGTGGATTCACCCCTCCAAAGTGAAATTCGTCAGGGAAAAGAACACTTACACACAAAGTTTCCTAATTCTTTGAATTTCCGGGTCCGATAGGTTTCCTTGTCAGACCCACGAACGACCGCGATGAAGTGTCCAAAACCGCGCGACTCGCGAACAAAGACTGGCACCGTCCCGTCGCCGGAAAGCCGATATATTCGAATGCGGATCGATGCGCGATGCGACCGAGCGCATACGTAATCGCGCGCCGGATCGGCAGGGGTCAACGAATCAAAGATCGCGCCCGGCAGAATTTTCCTGGGGGATCGGTCGATCGAGCCGTGCGCCGGCCGGTCCGAATTCTCCGATCGACGGACGGACGGACGGACACACGGACGGACACATGGAGGGACGGTTCGCGAAGAAGGACGGTTTACAACTTCCTCGCCGGTTCGGCGAATCCGAGGCCCCGCCGTGACGCATCGATCGGCCCGTGATTTATCCGCGAGTGTGCGCGCGCGCGTGATCCGCCTGTCGAACGGGAAGGAAGTGTGAGAATCTCGGGGCGGGAGCCGAGCGTTCGTCGTTCGGGAAAACGGGGAACGCGTCCGGACGGTCCTGAAATCGGTGGACTTGTGCGGTGTGGTAGAATCGAGTGGTTTAAGATAGTAGGTGAATTGTTTGCAGGTTCTTCGAGGAGAAAGGTGAAATGTTGGATTAGTTTGATAGATATGTAATGTTGATGGTGATAATTGTTGATGTTACTGATTGTAGGCGTAGTTTTAATATTGAAAATTGTAGAGTTGGGGATTGTAATATTGGAAATTCTAGTGTTAGATATTGTAATGTTAGGAATTGTAATATTAATGACTGCAATATTAAGAACTGTGATATTGTAATTGTAATATTCGGAACTACAATGTTAGTAATTGAAATATTGGAAACTGTGATATTAGTAATTACAAAATTAGAAGTTATAATATTAGTAGTTTTAATATTAGAAACAGCAATTATTAGTGGCTGC